GGCTGAAGACATCTGCAAATTCTTTGCAGACTTCCTGTAGGTCGAGTGTTTGTAAGCTGTTGACCCCGTGACGTGTATCCCCAAGGCTTCAAACCAATCGAGTCCTATGAGATTCGTTCGTTCACCCCCTACTACTAATATGTCTAGTGGACCTTCAAAATTCTTATACTGTACATTAAGGGTGGCCTCCCCCTTAACACACACTCTCGAATTTTGAAAGTCTGTTAACACAATGTCAGAAGGCCTTAATTTAGCCTGAGTTCCACTGCCAGAACAAATCTTCCTAAATGTATGTAAGGATATGATTGAAAGGGCAGACCCCGTGTCTAGTTCCATAGTTAATGGAACCCCTTGTAGCTTCACCTTGAGTGACAGCTTTTTCTTGATGGGCTTGTGTGTGCCTGTCCTGAAGATGCTTCTTCGCGAAGCGCAAAAACCTACCCTATTCTGGCTGGGGACCCTGGTACCTTTCAGGCGCAGTTCTTCCTGAGGTTGTACCTTTCGTCGGCCCAGACACACAGCTGCAATATGTCCTTGTTTCCCGCACGCCCGGCAGATAGCGGAGCGGAACTTGCAGTCGGTTCTCCTGTGGCGACCTCCACAGCCGATGCACTTGAGGGGAACTGCAGAGCTTCCTTTCTGATTCCCTTCCTTCGTGGGGTGGAGACGGTCGACTTCCTCGTCCAGATCCTCCTCGGAGTTCCCTTGGACGTCCTCTTGGTGCACGGATGCAACATCTGGACTGTTCCTGATCGGCCGCATGTTTTTGACGGCGCCGCCTGCTGCTTCTTCTGCGGTGACTCTCTTAAGGCATCTTGGAAGGACAAGTCTTCTTTGGCAAAAAGCCTCTGTTGTAGATCTCGATGCCTTAAGCCACACACGAATCGGTCCCTCAGTTGTTCTTCGAGGTCCTTGAACTCGCAGTGCTTGGCGGCCTTCCTCAATGCAGCGATGTATTCTTTGGCCGACTCTCCGGATCGTTGATCCCTCTGCTCGAAGGTGTGGCGCCATGCGATGACGGACATCTTGGGCTGGAAGTGCTCCTTCAATAGCTTCTTTAGATCTGCGTAGCTGACAGACTCTAATGGGACAGGTGCTGCAAGGTTCTCTGCGATTTCGAAGGCGTCTTGACCGCAGACACAAAGCAGGGTGGCAGCCTTCAAGCTATCTTCCCTCACTTGGTTTACCTTGAGGTAATTTTCCACCCTGGCTACGTAGGACTCCCACCGCTCTGGATGTGAGACGTCGAATTCCGAAAGCCTTCCGACTTTTGCCATTTTCAGGAGACGGGTCTATCAGCCAGCCTACCCCCGAATGCGCACTGGATTGGCGGGTAGCTGCCAAGTCAACGCCGTTCCGCCGCTCAGGACTCACTTGGGTAAGCTTACACCTCTTCCTTTCCAGGCGATGTAAGGCATCCCACCTTCGTCGCCAGTGTTGAGTCCTTGGCGAAAAGCAGACGCGAGAAGCAGTTGTAGTTCTCAGGTTTTCTTTTATTCTGTGTTCAGCTTACAGGTGAAGGCTTCAGCAACGCCCAAAACCTCCCAGCCTCTTATATAGGCAATTCCCGGGTCAATGTGTTACTTTTCCCGCGCCAGCACCCGCGCATGCACACAGGTGCTGGCGACAGCCTGTCTGGTCCCGGGCAGCTTGCACCTGCCCGGGACTGCCTGCAAACGCCCCGAGCCCATTTGCAAGGCTCGGGACATAACAAGTTGTAGTTCTTGTGATTCACTGGAGTTATTTGTTCTAATAGTTTCCTGTCTATTCCTGCCTTTTGCTGTATGTGTTTGTGTGGATTTTTAGTTTTTATAGAAAAAAATACAATAAGTTTGACTAAGCTTTGTAAGTTGGTTTCCTTTTACTTATCTAGAAATTCCAGCTATCTAAAATTGAAAGCTTTCAGATGGTGTTCATGACAACTGTAAGAATAATTAGAATTCTGACTGGATTTTTAATTTTCACTAGTTAAATATTCAGAGTAATCTATTCTGTTTCATTCCAAGAAAAAGTCAGGTAATTTTATATACTGAACAGGATTGTGTGCAATGGAGTACTCTCTGCAGAGATTGCTGTAGAAAATGTTATCATTAGTTCTGCCAGGCAAATATTATTAGAAGACATAGATCAGTCAAAGGAAGTCAAGATGATGAAGTCACTATTAGTGAGAATCACACAGCACACTGTATGCAAAAATATCAATATTGTTGATGAAGAATGAATAAGTGTATAGCAGTGCCAAAGAGCATTAAGAAAACAATTTTCTTTTAATTTTCTATTTGTTTATTTAAAGGTGAAGGATTTGCAAAATATAATTGGCTTAATTATCTTCTTTCCACACAGTCAGGGTTTGATTAATCTCAAATATACTAGAGCAAATTGAACCAGTTTCATACTAACATAACGTTTTTGCACATTTGCTTTTTAGAAACATAAAGAAAGGCACATGTCAATCTTTAAAGCTATTTGGCTAAAAGATAGAAAGGAGTATAGGTAGGTATGAGACTAAGATCTTTTGTGGGAAGGGACCATCAGAAAAGAATGTATTTGAAATGATGAGCTGGATCGATTTTCTTTCAAAGTAGCAAAAACATGTTAACATAAAGTTACAAGAGTTATATTTTACATTTTCCTGATTTCTAGGCTCTAACTTTAAAAAAAAAAACAGAGAAAGAGAGAGAGAGAGATGGAAAAGATCTATCACAAATAAAGGTAATGCGAATATTCAGATAAACATTCTCTCCCCCAAGTTTCTCAGAATCCTTATAGGCCCTGAAAGTATTAGGTGAAATGGTTCAGGCAAAGAGGTAGTATGGCAAAACTTAGTACATTCTAATGTCTCTCTGACTCTCTGCCTAACCTAATTTTTTTTTTATTTTGACTAAAGAAGTTATTTGGATGAGTAACGAAGCATCTCAGTTTAACAAACTTTGGTCCAGTTGCCATGATTTAACCTTTTTAGATGCTTTTGGCCTGGATGATTGAGTCTTTATTTAATTTACACAAAATGGCAACATCTGCCTATCTTGGGAAGGACTTGATAGGAGGATACAAATGCCAAATTCAGTTTTAACATTTGACTGACTGTGTGATGAACTTCAATAATAATAATAATTGTTATTGCTGTTATTTCCTATCCTGCTATAATGGAGAAATGCAGTCTCATAAATACTTAGATCTGAAGTCATATAGATTTCAAAGGTGACAACTCTGAATTGTACCTGAAAGTAAACTGATGATCAGTGCAGCTCTCAGACTAGAGGTGTTGCATGGAGAACATTGAAGATCCTAGAACTACTTGAGCAGCTGCATTCTAGATTGGTTGGGAGGGAGTTCTATGACAACGAATTACAATACTCCAAAAACCAGGTGATTAAAGCATAAATGATTATAAGCAGGACCTCCTGATCTAGGAACTGTCATAAGTAGTAGCACCTGGTGTCACTGGTTTCAAAACAGTTTTACTTTGAGCAAAAGAAATTCTGAACACTTGAAAAATGACTGAAGTATTCTTTAACATTTTATTAAAATTAACATATTCTACATTATTCAGACATGAAACTTTCTCTTAGTCTAGGTTCTAGGTCTCTATGTTGCTTTCAGCCTAACTTCATGTAGCATTTTCATATACGTATAACCTTTACTGCATTGTAAATTTTGATGGTTTTATCCATTCTTTTAATTTTCCTAGCATTTTATTTCTATCGCAGACTATCTTGAATGCTGTGAATTAGAAAAGCTGGTTATGCATTTGAACAATAAAATGAAATCACTTCTTCATTATGATGGCCATTTAGACACCAGTCGCAACAAAGAAACAGCTAATAATTAAACCACCCAGTGGAACAGAATTTAGGACAGTGAAGAAACTGCCTATCACCAAAGTTTCTGTCTTGCAAAATAAACCATTTTCAAGAGAAAAAAACTTCTAACTGAAGTTGCAGATAATCTTTGATGAACAAATGGCTGATTCTGTATTAGCCATGAGTATGTGCTGTGAAATGTTACATGGTGTTACTATATTTAATTTCACTTCTATTAAATTGTGGAAAAATAATACTCTAACACCGTAAAAGGACCACTTAAATATATCCATCTCTTTTTTTTCTCAACAGTGTTCAAGCCGTTGAGTTAAAAGACAGTCTAATCATTCTGAAAGTCTGAAATATTTTCTAATAATTTTTGAACTTTGCTGGGTAATCAATTTCATATATTCTTCAGAATTTCATTTATTTGCTAAAGTGTTATATCGTTGTGGAATATGTGGAATACAGGGAGAAGAATAGCCAGATAAATTATTGAATGGGCCTTGTCAGTCAACAGGAGTGCTGATTTACCAACAGGTATTACCAGGTATTTGGGAGCTGAGGGCCCAGCAGCACAAGGAAGCACAATCAATGACTTAATAGCTGGCCATCAACACCCCAGTCAACAACTAAAAGCTACACACAATCAGGCACCACATAAATACTATGCATAAAACAGCCCACATATCATGGAGATTGAAAAATTCCGTGAGGATGGGGTCTATCACGAGTCCAAAAGCTTGGAAGAACAAATTGCTGGCCCCGGTGACTGACTCAGATTGGAACTTGCAACATTATCCTGGGACATGTATATTTGCCTTTATTTGCTATAGGCAGAAGAATTTCATATTCAAATATAATCAGATCCACAATTCCTTCATATTCAAAGACAAATTTGAGGGCACTTTATTGTTCAGATATATTACTAGCAGGGCTTTTTTTCTCATAGAACGCCCAGAATGGAGTTCCAGCACCTTTTTTGGATGGAACCTTGTAGGGTAGGCAAGGTGGGTTGTATGACGTGTGTGAGTTCCGGCACCTTTTTTTTTTTTAGAAAAAAAGTGCTGATTACTAGACTTCATATTTTGGAAGCAGTTGTTTATTCAGCTGCAGCTTTTGATTTGAAGGGGAAGTGTGAGGAGACACAGGGAGTGAATCACATTATGTGGAAGAGGAGTGATACAGACCATGGAACAGTCAAGAGAATTGCAGAAAATAATTACTATATAGCATTTTTGTCTTCTCTGCTTTGAAAGCTTGACTTTGTCTAGGACTTCAGATATATCCTTTTATTTCTTTTGAAAACATGAAAACGATGTGGGTCACATAACTCTTGTTGAAAGAAAGGAAATCATCTGGATATTCATAGATTGAATGACCACTCCAAATCTTTGTTTGTTTATGCGTGTAACTTTCACAATTTTCATGCCATGATAGCAAACCATAGGCAGGGATTGTTTCCACCTGGATTTTGACTATATTTTGGGAAAATAAAATTAGATCCATTAAAACAATCAAGACCAAAGGCCACAGAAATTCAAGTGTTCCGAGCTTCCACTGATTGGAATGGATTATATTCAAAATACTGTAATATTTCATTAAAATCAATTACCAGGCATAATCTTACCACTAGATAGAGAGAAGCAGCTGCTAACAGTAATGAACCAGGATAGAGAACACTGAAACCAAGTGACCACCTGCTATTCTTACAATTTGCTGTATGGAACTGGTGTATACAGAGATAGCAAACAGCAGTGCAAACATGGAAAAAGCAGCTGTTACACTATTTGAAAAAAAGTGTTCCGCATCAACTCCTGTGCACATTTTTTTCAGATGAAAAATATGCACAGCTCTAGTTTGCATATGCTAGTCTAAGAGGATTCTCAGGAAAGGACCCTCTCAGAGTGATCACAGTAGGACATGAATAATTGGATGGGGCATAAGTGATAGACAATTGGTAGGAAAGAACTGCATAGGAAGAAATTTATAGTGAAATGAAATACTAGGGTCAACCAAGATAACATATCTTTTGGACTAATGCTGGACTTCTACTTTCTTAGGGTGCAACAGGAATACAGAATTCAGATCACAGGAAGCAATTGCTTTACTCTGTCCTGATCAGATCCAACTTGGAATCTGAGCACCACAATTGTAAAGAACAGTGACAAGTTGGAATGAGTTCAGAGGAAAGACATCAAAATGGTGAGAAGTCTGGATGCCAAGGCTGCAAGAAATGTTTAAAGAATCTAGTTATATTTAGCCTGCAGAAGAGATAACTAAGTGGGATATATGATAGCAGTTTTCAAATATCTGAACAGTTGTTATGTGGAAAAGGAGTGGACTTATTCTGAATTGCCACAGATGGCAGGATTAAAATGTAGAATAGAATAGAATAGAATAGAATAGAATAGAATAGAATAGAATAGAATAGAGCTGGAAGGGACCTTGGAGGTCTTCTAGTCCAGCCTCCCCGCTCAAGCAGGAGAACCTATACCATCTCAGACAAATGACTGTCCAGTCTTTTCTTAAAAACCTTCAGAGATGGAGTGCCCATGATTTCTGAAGGCAAGTTGTTCCACTAGTTAATTGTCCTCACTGTTAGGAACTTTCTCCTTAATTCCAGTTGCTTCTTTCTTTGATCAGTTTCCAGCCATTGTTTCTTGTCCTGTCCTCTGATGCTTCGGAGAATAATTTGACCACCTCTTCTTTGTAGATTTAATGAATCAAGGTTTAAAACTATAATAAAATAATATCAGGAAGAACTTTCTGACTGTATGAGTTGTTTGCCAGTGGAACAGGCTACCATGAGAAGTGATAAGTTCTCTTTTGCTAGAAGCCATCTTTTGTGATGGATTCTATAACAGTTGGACTAATTGACCTCCAAAGTCCCTTCCAACTCTATGATTCTATTATTAGAGTGGTCTATTTCCAGATTTGCTGTTAATAGTTTTCCTCCTTTAATTACGCTGTGTAGATGAACACAATGCCACTCTATTTCAATTCAATCTACTCACAATAAAAATATAACCCAGAAAATTTCTGATGCTGCACTATTATTAAGAAAATGACTGTTACAATCTGATTAAAATGTGCAAAAGAGATTTAAACAAATAAAAAACAAAGCTTAGTAAAGTATTTTAAAATATTAAATTGTTCTGAAGATGCTTGCTCAGTTCCAATATATTTTCAACTTTGTAGAAAGTTCTGACTTATTAATCTTGTAGTTCTAATATGCTTTTCTAGATCTGAGGATCTGAAGAACAAACTATCTGGAGGGCAATGCAAATGGAGCTGCATAAAGGGAAGGTGTGAGAATTCATAAGGAATTGTGGGTGAAAGAAGCAACAAAGTCAATGAACAAAAATGGGAACTGTTGACAAAAAAGTAAACATGCCCATGAATAGGCATAAAAGTTTTAAATGCTTATATACAAATGCTCAAAGCCTGGGGAACAAACAGGGTGAACTAGAAGCAATAGTACACGAGGGAAGGTATGACATAGTTGGCATTACAGAAACCTGGTGGGATGAAACCCATGAATGGAATGGACTGATGGATGGATACAAATTGTTCAAAAGAAACAGGTCTAAAAAAAGAAGAAGGGGGGTTACACTATATGTAAGAGAACACTACATATCTATAGAAATGCACATGATCCAAGATAAAATCTCTCCAGAATGTATATAGGTCAATATAAAAGAAAAAAAAAACCACAATACCATAGGTGTATATTACAGCCCACCCAACCAATCAGAAGAACTAGATGAATTCTTTGCCAACCAGGTGACAAATGTATGTAGGAAGCATACCACATTATAATGGGAGACTTCAACTATCCAGATATCAAACTCTATGGCAAATGGGAGATCAAACAGATTCTTAACCAATCTAGCTGACAACTTTGTCATCCAAAAGGTGGAAGAGGGAACTAGACGTAAAGCCATACTGGATTTAATTCTAACTAATAGAGAAGAAGTGATAGAGGGAGTTGAATTTGCTGGAATCTTGGGCAAAAGTGACCATGTCATACTGGAATTAAATATAATGCAAACACTAGCAACAGAAAACAATCCAGCCAGTGTCTTGAACTTCAAAAGAGCTGACTTTAACAAACTCAGAGAGAACCTAGGAAAAATCCCATGGATGAAAATCCTAAAGGGGAAAACAACCCAAGAAGCATGGGAAACCCTGAAAAATGCAATCATAAAAGCCCAGACCGGCACAATACCACTGAAAAAGAAAAGCAAGAAATTCAAGAAGAAACCAGCATGGCTGCACAAAGATCTCTCTGATAAACTGAAAGACAAAAAGGACAAACACAAAAAATGGAAAGAGGGCACATAACTAAGGCTGATTATCAGCAAACAGCCAGAATATGCAAAGATGAAGTCAGGAAAGCAAAGGTTCAGAATGAACAAAGACTTGCAATACAAATCATGGATAACAAAAAAAGCGTCTTCCAACATACTAACAACAACAAAAATCAAGGAAACTGTAGGTCCACTAAAGAGACAAGATGGCAAGGAAATAACAGGCAACAGGGAGAAAGCAGAGCTGTTTAACTCATACTTTGCATCAGTTTTCACATAAAAAGAAACTATAGCCCAACATACCAAAAAAAACCACTGCAAAAGACATACTAGAAACAAAAATTAAAATAAGCAAGAAAATGGTAAGAGAACACCTATCTGACCTTGATGAAGAAAGGAAAAAAAAGAACAGACCCAGGAAACTACAGACCAATCAATTTAACATCAATACCTGGGAAGATCTGAGAAAAGATAATCAAAAAACAGATCTGAGAACAACTAGAAGCAAAAAAGTTGTAACTAGTAGCCAGTATAGGCTTGTTAAAAACAGATATGCCAAACCAATCTTATTTCATTCTTTGACAAAGTGAATAAACTAATAGACCAGCAAAAACCTGTGGATGTAGTATAAATAGACTTCAGTAAGGCATTTGATAAAGTAGACCACAACCTACTCCTTGGTAAGCTAGAAAAGGGATAGACAACATCACCAACAGATGGATCTATAGGTGGCTGGCAAACCACATTCAATGAGTAATCGTCAACAGCACTACATCCACATGGAGAGAAATAAGCAGTGGGATACCACAAGGTTCCATCTTAGGCCCAGTACTCTTCAATATCTTCATCAATGACTTAAATGAAGGAATTGAAGGGAAACCCATCAGATTTGCAGATGACACCAAACTGGCAGAAGTAACCAACACCCCAGAAGACAAACTCATGATCCAAAAAGATCTTGACAAACTTGAACAACAAAATGAATTTCAATATGGAGAAAATCAAAGTTTTACATTTAGGTAGGAAAAATCAAAGGTACAAGTACAGATTGAGCGAGACCTGCTTAAAAACAGTAACTGTGAGAGGGATCTCTCACAGCAGCCAAAAAACCTACAACCTGGGTTGTATAGAATCAAGATCATGCAAGGTATTAGTACTGCCTTATAAAACCCTAGTAAGACGATACCTGGAATACTGTATATTACAAAAAAAGATGTTGAGGGTTTGGAAAAAATTCAGAGAAGAGCAACTAAGATGATCAAAGGCCTGGAGACTAAAACATACAAAGAACATCTGCAGGACTTGGGTTTGGCTAGTCTAAAGAAAAGAAGAGATAGGGGAGACATGATAGCAGTACTCCAGTATTTTGAGGGGCTGCCACAAAGAAGAGAGGGTGACATTATTCACCAAAGCATCAGAGGACAGGACAAGAAACAATGGTTGGAAACAGATCAAAGGGAGAAGCAACCTGGAATTCCTGACTGTGAGTACAATTAACCAGTGGAATAGCTTGTTCCCAGAAATCATGGGAGCTCAATCACTGGAGATTTTAAAACAGAGGTGAGACAGTCACTTGTCTGAGATGGTATAGGTTCTCCTGCTTGAGCAGGGGACTGGACTAGAAGACCTCCAAGGTCTCTTCCAGCTCTATTCTATTCTAGCTAACATAAACAAAATCTTTTCTAGGAGATTTTTCTCTTTCTTTTCTTTTGCAGGCACTGATAGCTTTGAGGAAAATTGGCTCAACTATTACCTGCTCTTGAAGAATTTATTTTTAAAAAATTCTTACTGTAGCTCTGTCTCAACTCTCCATCTTGGACTGTATCAGTAGAAAATGAAGTCATGCTTCAGTCAAGATGCAGGTGACGCTCAAAAGAAATTGACGAAATACATTCACATTTACCTTTACCTTTTTTCTTCCCAGTTGTTCAGTCTAGTTAACAATAAAACATGAACTCAAGTTAATATTTGAAACTTTTAATCAAGTACCAAATAATGTACTGAGCATTCCTGAAACTGTGTCATTTGCTTCCTGGTTTATTATGCATGCATAATAAACACAAATATTGTTAAACCAATCTAATTTATATGCCGGTTGTATCCAGTAACTGATCTGTTTATCTCTTCTGTCTTTTGCTTAAAACCCCCCTGAGAGATATAATATCTTCCAGAGTGTCAGTATGACATAACAAATGCTATAATCAAGTACTCCCAAGAGCAATGGGAATACACAATAGCAGAGGCCTTGTGGAGCTATCAGATGTGTATCAAAATGTTCCCTCAAGAAGCAGAACCAATGATTCAGTTTACCGTAAATTGTTAGGAATCTTGCAAAATAGAAGAAAGAATAAAATGCTTTTGTTTTTGCAAGGTGTCATTAGTGATAATACTTGAAAGCCTTCATTGTTATGTTAATTTTCAGCAGTTATAAGCCTCCCCATCCCACTTACCCTGGCTTCTGTTTGTATAGGTGTGTGAAGTGTGAACAGAGGAAGAGGCTGCTGCTTTCCTGCCAATGCTCAAATGACTGTCCATCCATGTGGCTTCCTGAAGGCATTGCCAGCACTAACTGATTTTACGGAGACGTAGAGAACAGAGAAACCAGCCTAGAAAGAATAGTTTTAGCTCTGGTCAACAGTGGGGAAAAGATAAGAATGAGTTCATAATTGAAACAAACAATATAGAAGGAAAAATATGAAAGTATGTTTGAGAGCTAAAAATATAATATACAAATTCAAAGGTGCAGCTATTAATACAGTAGAATATAATAATAATAATAATAATAATAATAATAATAATAATAATGATGATGATGATGATGATGATGATGATGATGATGATGATGATGTTGTTGGAAGGGACCTTGGAGGTCATTGTCCAACCCCCTGCTCAGGCAGGTAACCCTATACCATTTCGGACAAATGGCTGTCCACTCTCTTCTTAAAAACTTCCAGTGTTGGAACATTCACTGGTTAATTGCTCTAACTGTCAGGAAATTTCTCCTTAGTTCTAGGTTGTTTCTCTCCCTGTTTAGTTTTATCTGTTGCTTCTTGTCCTGCTTTCAGGCGCCTTGGAAAATAGCTTGACTCCCTCTTCTTTGTGGCAGCAGTATTGGAATACTGCTATCATGTCCCCCCTTGTCCTTCTCTTCATTAAACTAGACATACCCAATTCCAGCAGCCTTTTCTTATATGCTTTAGCCTCCAGTCCCCTAATCATCTTTGTTGCTCTTCTTTGTACTCTTTCTAGAGTCTCAACATCTTTTTTACATCGTGGTGACCAAAACTAGATGAAGTATTCCAAGTGTGGCCTTACCAAGGCATTGTAGAGTGGTATTAATATACTGCCATAGTGCCCAATTTCTTTGCAAATATTATAGCTAGGAGTATATGCAGGGGAGGTAAAAATTTTTTTTAAAAAAGGCAGCCATGCTTGCCTGATCAAAGTGACACCAATAATGGGCGGGTGGTGGTGGTCTTCCACAGATTGATCTTGTGTGCTAGTTGCAGCCATTCCTGATCTAGGAGGTTATGCTCATAGTCACACATATCCTAGTTGCTTCCCAGTTGGATTGCTACAGTTCACTCCAGATGGTCTTCAATCTTCTCGAAGACAATCTGGAATGCAGTAGTGCACATAGTTCTGGGCGTTCTATCATTTGCATGCATTATGCTGCTGTTGCCTGGGCTGCACTGGCTTCAAGATACCTTTAAAGCCCTAAGTGACATGGGAGCATGATATTTGTAAGACCTCCTCTCTTTAACAGAATCTGCTTTGCTCATCAGAGAAATAAGATAGGTTTACTCTAGGTCCCTTCCCTTACATGTTGTCACCTAGCAGTGACTAGAAAGCACATCTTCTTTCTCTGCTCTGGGAAATACCCTTTCTGCAGAGATTGAGCATACTACCTTCCTGGTCTTCTAGAACAGGGGTCCCCAACCTTTTGGGCACCAGGGAAGGGTTCCATGGAAAGGTTTTTTCCGCGGACCGGAGGGTGCGTGGTTATGTGTGCTGCCTGCATCTCGCAGATGGGGCTTTGTTTGTGTGGCCCAGTTGCTGGCCTGCCACAGCGTGGTACTGGTCCCCGGACTGGGGGTTGGGGACCCCCGTTTTAGAAGACCTGAAGAGCCAATACTTCCCACAATCATTGCATGGAATGCTTGTGGGAATGAGGATGGAACTGAGCAAGGTGAGACACTGATGTGTGGGAGAGTGTTGGCCAGTTTTATTATAGTTATTTGATAGAGGATGGATGGATAGATTTTTTTAATTTATATATTTGATTATTAAATCAAATCAGATTTATTAGTTGATTATTCTGTTTTCTAGAATAGAAACAATGTGAACCAGCAACTCCATGTTAAGGACATGAATCAGTCAGAATGCAGTTAACTTTTTCTAAATGCTTTCAGCACACGTTGTATAATCATACACAAAATAGAAAGGAATCATCTTACAGCTATATCTAACAAACTGGGCAATCTTGGTTTTATGACAGATTTGCATATTCTACCTCTTAAGCAAAGCCGTACCACCACCCACCCACACCTTTGCCATCAGTCAGGGAAAGAGTACCTTCACTTCCTGCTTGATAAAACTGTGGATTAGTTATTGAAAGACTGAAGGCACATGTGTCTTTAAGTCAATTTTTAAAACTGTAATATTGAAGGAAGGTTTTTTGTCACTCATTTTTATTCTTTCTCCTTTTTTTTGGATTTACATAAACACACATTTGAAATAAATTATAATAAAGCAATCTGCATTTTTCATTTCCTTCAGCCCCTTGATCCAGTAGGGAATATCATGGGTAATTCTGAAGATCAAGAGATTGTTTTTCTAGGGTTTTTTTTCCTTAAGCTAAGGAAACATCAAAGGCTAATTAAGCTGCACATGCATGCATGCACACACATTTGAAGGCACTGTTCATCATAAATGGCTTTGGTTTTTTCAATTGAAAAGAAAAAAGATAAAAGCTCCCATTTAGTACACAGTGAAGGGCAGAATAGAAGAATAAAATGAGATGCTGTTTGATGCTACTATTGCTTCCACTTACTCATACTGTACCTTTCACACATGAAAAACCTTTTGGGGAGGCTGGTCACCTGTGTTATTAACCAAAACTGATTTATAAAATAATACTAAGTCCTTAGTATTAAAGTGTCACTGCCATGACAGATATAACCGACATGTTCATTCAGATTTAAAGATACTTCCGAAGGGAAACAAATTGCAAGAGATTATGCACAGTGGTAGAAACAGATGTTTAATATGTCTTCAAATGAGCAGTTCCACTCTGGAAATTGAAATCTTCCTAGTAGGAGCATAAAAGCTCCCATGTAAAATAAATCCATAAGAAGAGTGCAAGTATAAAACATTTGGGAGGAAATGAGTTGTTTTAGAAAGCTTTATGGAAAAAGATCACGATAGGCTGTGTATATAAATATATTATTAGCGTAATATAAAATTAGTGAAAATAAAATTAACTTGAGAAAATAAGAATTATTTGGGTCTAGTTTTACATTTTTTTCTCACCTAGACTAAAGTAGAGGCAGGCAACCTTTCAGAACCAAACTTGGCTTTTGGGTTAGAGGGAAAATGGCTGCTGGTAGTAGAGCAATGAGAGTGACTAGAGTTATGTCACACATTTGAGCAGAATTTTCTGGATTATTTTGTGGGGCAAGTTGAAACAAGCTGTTTTAGGGAAAATACTGCCATTTTTCTTTTCCACCACAAAATGGGATGGGAATTGCATTGTTGGTTTTAGCCATTGTGCTTCTGAAAATTGGTGATGCAACTGGAAAGATTCCAAGAGTTGCACAAAACATCTTTGGAAGTCCTGGATGGCAAGCCCTGGATTATAACTGTTATATCCCCAAGTGGAACAACTAACAACCACATTCCACTTCCAAAGCTGACCTTAAATATTTTGCTGCCGGAAGCAGATATCAAATAGCCTACCCTGTGCTTGGCAAAATTTAATGAAGCATTAATTTGTTTTAAGAAAGCCAGACACCAGCGTTGTCCATCACAAATAGTTTTTCCAGTAGTTTCTACCTATCCTGTAATGTCAAGCAGAATGAGTGTGCATGCTCTCTGTTGAGTCCTTGGCGCAAAGCAGACACGAGAAGCAGTTGGAGTTCTCAGTTTTCTTTATTCTGCGTTCAGCTTACAAGTAGATGGCTTCATGGCTTCCCAAACGCTCGCAGCCTCTTATATAGGCAACTCCCGGGTAATTGTGTTACTTTTCCCGTGCCAGCACCCGCGCATGCGCATGGCGCTGGCGACAGCCTGTCTGGTCCCGGGCAGCTTTGCACCTGCCCGGGACTGCCTGCAAACGCCCGAGCCGTTTGCAAGGCTCGGGACATAACACCCCTTTCCCCCGGGCTAAAACTATTACCAACATATAATCATTTACTCTATACAATGTTCCGTTCCCCAGGGCTCCCACTGTTTGCTGGCTTTTGCCTTGCCAGCAATGTTATATAATCCTCTAGGTACTTAGGAGATTTCTTTGCTCTCTGTGACCTTCTCAGCTCTGGGTTACTAGCATGAGTTCCCTGACTGGAGGGAGATGTGAGCCTGTTCTCCTTATTTTGCCTTGGTGCCTTCCAAGGACTGTGCCCCGATGCCTGGCCTGCTTGCTCGCCCACCGGGCTCGTCAGGCCAGGGCTTCTGTCACTTTGTGACCTGGTTGACCTGCCTAGCTGTAGACCCTCGGGCCCCTTGAAGTGATAGCCACTGCTGGGCGTCTCTGTTGAACCTCCTAGGTCCGTCCAAGACCTGTCAGGAGGCTGTCCATTCCCTGAACCCCGTTCTGTGTCCGGGCTTGTGTGGGTTTCTGTACTTTCCCAAAACTCAGTTACTCCCTGATTTGGGCTAGAGGTGTTGTAGTCGGGACTTGGTTCCTCGACCACCTCCCTGTATGTTTGACCCCCTGTAGGATTTGGGGTAAGGTCAGGCCAACTTTGGGGATTGTGTGCCAGCTCTCTTGCGGGGAATGATTTGTTGGGATGCCCCCGGGTATCCTCCGTGACTGGAGTGCTGTGTGATGTGTGTGGAAAGTGAGTATGCCCCCGGGGTGACTCCCTGGCTGGAGTAGGCATGGATGCCTGGTAGTTGGGTAGGCTCATAGAATTCTTGTTCGGAGCTCTCGCGGAACCCTGGGATGGGCCGTTTGTGGCTCCATCAGTGGAGATGGGCAGCAGCTCGTGCCCTTCCCTTTGCTCCAAAGGGTCCCCCTCCCCCCCTGGAAAAAACCCAGGAGTCTCATCTGAAAGGTCCCGCCTAGGGCGGAGTTGGTCGATGTGCCGACGCAGGACACGACCGTTGTCCAGGGCTACCTCGTAGGAGAGAGGGCCTGTGACCCTGGAAATAGAAGCGGGGACCCATGTATGACCAGGCCCGTAATTGCGAGCCCAAACCGGGGCACCCACAAGTAGTTGTCTAGGTGCCCTAGGATGTGAGGTAGATGAAGGCAGTCTGTCCGGATGCAACCGGTCAAGTTTAGTAGTAAGTTGACGCCCCCAACGAAGTTCAGCTGGGCTTCTCCCTGTAGAAGTGGACGGTGTGGTGCGATAAGAAAGGAGAAAGTCAGCCAACC